CCAATCCTGAGATTGGTATCCATTAGTGTAAAAATATCCATAAACACCAGGGATCGGGGATCCATTGTACAATCTCCCTCCAACGTGTCTGAGAGATGTGACTTTATGTCTATCCCACATGTACTATACACCAACACACCCATCCATCCATCCATCTTTGACACCTGCTTGTCCTATGCAGGGTCATGGGGATCCGGAGCCTCATCAAAGAAATCATTTAGTGTAGTATTGCACTAATACTACACTGTGGGTAACATTGTTGCCTCCCTTCTTCAGGATTGGGGGTTCAAATCTGACCTGTGGCACTTGTATATTCTCCCTGTGTCATGTCAGTTCTGTCCTTTAAGTCAACCTTCGATTTGGATGAAGTTACAATAATATTGAAATATATATCATCCATTCATGTTCTAAATGAATATACAGAGAAGGGTTGCTGGGGCACTCTGGCTCCACCATGTGGTCATTTTAAGCACACAGTAGTCTGGTTAAACGAATGGATCATTACGTGTCACTTCACAGTCAAGGATACTGTATACATACATGGTTTTACAATGTACTGTATGGTTATATAATACATGTTATAAGAAACAGAGGGCATGTCTGTTAATCATCAACTGCTTTCCTTCTCCTGAGTCCAGGCTTTCATGGAACTCAAAAGAATCCAAACAGGGTCCAGCTCTTAATAGCCACTGTATTAGGTCCCCTTAGATCAGGGGTGCCCAACTCCAGTCCTGGAGGGCCGGAGCCCTGTGTAGCTTAGTTCTTTCCCTGTTCCACCGTAAATGATTCAGCTCAAGAGCTGTGTGGTAATTAGCACAAGGAGGTGAATCAGGTGTGTTAAATGAGGGGAAACCCAAAAATATGCAGGGCTCTGGCCCTCCAGGACTGGAGTTGGGCACCCCTGACCTAGATGGTACCTGTCACGCCCGGCTCGTCCGATCCTCGTGTGTGCCACTCCCCCCTCGTTACCTCGTGTTACTTCCGGATTGTAATCACCTGTTGCTTGTTAAGTTCATGTCTTGTGTATTTAGTCCGCGTCTAAGTCATTATCCCTCAGATCTGTCATTGTGGTGTCATGTTCCTTGCCGTGTGCCTTTGTCTCCCTGCCAATAAACCCCGTTTGTCCGTATTTACAGCTCCGCTCGCCTGCTTCCCCGCTCGCCAGCTTGCCAACGTAACAGTACCAAGTAGAGCCGCCTTTTGTCACCAGAACCATTTTAAGGGTCATGCCTCTGCAGACGCCTTTCTGCACCCCACTGTTAAGCTGAGCTGCTTTTTTGCAGCTTTGTTTGTTTGAAAGAGTTAGATTAGAAAGTGTCTGTCTGCAGAACTACAGCGCGCCGGATGTTCAGAGTAGATGAGCTGATTACTGTATTTTTACTGTGCTCTGCTACATGCTTCTATGAACTACTTTTTAATGCAGAAAGTACGAGTTTTACTAATATCCTATTAAATATATAGTATGTTTTTATTTTTGATTAGATTGCTTCTGTGTCATGTCTTGTGTTGCACTCAATGATAAATGAAATGCATTTAAGAATATTAGTATTTTCTGAGAAGCATGGCTGTTCTTTGCCTCGTTTATGAGTACACAAAAGTTATATTATTCTTTGTTTATAAACCGTATTCATTTTAAATAATTGAATGTTCAGTTTGGGCAGTGGTGGCTTCATGGTTAGGGAAGCGCACTTGTAATTGAAAGATTGCTGGTTCAAATTCCGAACCAGCAAGGTACCACCCCCAAGCACTGCTCCCCAGGCGCTGAATTAGCTGCCCCCTGCTACGGTATGTCACGACGTCACATATGGGTTAAATGCAGAGGACACATTTTGTTGTGGTGTGTCAACAATGACCATTGATCACCAAAATTCTAAATTTCATGCAAAGGGACCGCAGAGGACTCCCAATGTGAGAGGGGGACAAGCCGGTCCTGGGAGGTGCAGTCAGGTGACACTTTGGTGGCTCTTTACTTCCACCTGCCCATGAATAATTAAAAAATTCAGCTACTACTTCCATACCAGCACAGAAAAAGAGCCCCTCCAAGTTTTCTATTATAGCATTGATGGGACATGAAAATAATCATTAAAGAATGGCCTCCGCTGACTTTGACCCACCACAGAAAATAACTGCCTGTCCTGCTGTAATGGCTTTACATTGCTGTGGTCTGTTTTTGCCCTTCGTCTCTAGTGAGCCAGACGAAGCCTCAGGCCTTACAGCTCTGCCAGTCCTTCCTGAAACCCTTGACAGTCTGAGCTCTTCCTGCCCCCCACCTGCCCGTTTGGGATCCATTTCAGTCCCTGTTAAAACAGCAGCTCCTGTTCATATGTCCTTAGTGTGTGCTATCCATCCTGTTCCTTCCCCATTCGGTTCTCCCTGATAAAAAGACCGGTAACACTTTACTTAAAGCACTGTTGTATAATGCATTATAGATACCTTCATAATGCATTATAGTGCATTCATAAAGTATTATAAACATGGCTATAAATATTTATAAAAAGGCATAACACATTATAGTCATGCTTATAATGCATTATGACTGCCTTATGAAGCTCTCATCTATAATGCACTATAGGTACTTTAATAATGCAGTACAAAGCATCCTTAATGTTTATACCGACCATTATCTTGCATTATAAAGGTATGTATAGTGCGTTATAGATGAGAGCCTCATAAAGCTTTCATAATGCATAATACACATGTTTGTAATGTATTATGCATTTTTATAAATATTTATAGCCATGTTTATAATACTTTATGAATGCACTATAATGCATTATGAAGGTATCTATAATGCATTATACAACAGTGCTTTAAGTAAAGTGTTACCAAAAGACCTTATTTTCCCCAAAGAAAGATCCCATCTGCTGCCCATGCAGCCCTATGCAACGTGGTTCCGTCTGCTGTCTCATCCTATCAATGTGAATAAACAAGTGAGGTTTCAGGATGGTTACCTGCATAAGATTTTTAGTAACCAAATGCTAAGAAGTATATGGTTGAATTACAGGTGAGCAGGAGAAATGAGCAATGAAAAGAAATGAATACAGAAGCTTGGTTTGGAGAAACATAGGGCCCTTTTAATGTCTTAAAAAACAATACAGAATTCACACTCCTGCTTTGTATCTGTCTCAGCCACAGCCTGAGCCTCTTATACCTTTAACATGCACTCAGTCACTCTCATGGTGGGACACTTTTCACATGGGCAATCAGCTGCACAGGATTATGGGTAGCATTATGTCTACATTTCGTCATGCAACTGGCCATGTGTCAGGGTAGATATTCAGGTCTAATGTTGCCTTGTGCCAGAATCAGCGGGAAGATGCNTACACAATTATTATTCTTTGTTTATAAACGATATTAATTTTAAATAATTGAATATTCATTTTGGGCAGTGGTGGCTTGATGGTTAGGGAAGCGCACTTGTAATTGAAAGATTGCTGGTTCAAATCCCCAACCAGCAAGGTACCGTCCCCAAGCACTGCTCCCCAGGCGCTGAATTAGCTGCCCCCTGCTATGTCACAACGTCACATATGGGTTAAATGCAGAGGACACATTTTGTTGTGGTGTGTCAACAATGACCATTGATCACCAAAATTCTAAATTTCTTGCAAAGGGACCGCAGAGGACTCCCAATGTGAGAGGGGGATAAGCCGGTCCTGGGAGGTGCAGTCAGGTGACACTTTGGTGGCTCTTTACTTCCACCTGCCCATGAATAATCAAACAATGCAGCCGCTACTTCCATACCAGCACAGAAAAAGAGCCCCTCCAAGTTTTCTATTATAGCATTGATGGGACATGAAAATAATCATTAAAGAATGGCCTCCGCTGACTTTCACCCACCACAGAAAATAACTGCCTGTCCTGCTGTAATGGCTTTACATTGCTGTGGTCTGTTTTTGCCCTTCGTCTCTAGTGAGCCAGACGAAGCCTCAGGCCTCACAGCTCTGCCAGTCCTTCCTGAAACCCCTGACAGTCAGAGCTCTTCCTGCCCCCCACCTGCTCGTTTGGGATCCATTTCAGTCCCTGTGGAAACAGCAGCTCCTGTTCATACGTCCTTAGTGTTTGCTGTCCATCCTGTTCCTTCCCCATTCGGTTCTCCCTGATAAAAAGACCTTATTTTCCCCAAAGAAAGATCCCATCTGCTGCCCATGCAGCCCTATGCAATGTGGTTCCGTCCGCTGTCTCATCCTATCAATGTGAATAAACAAGTGAGGTTTCAGGATGGTTACCTGCATAAGATTTTTAGTAACCAAATGCTAAGAAGTATATGGTTGAATTACAGGTGAGCAGGAGAGATGAGCAATGAAAAGAAATGAATACAGAAGCTTGGTTTGGAGAAACATAGGGCCCTTTTAATGTCTTAAAAAACAATACAGAATTCACACTCCTGCTTTGTATCTGTCTCAGCCACAGCCTGAGCCTCTTATACCTTTAACATGCACTCAGTCACTCTCATGGTGGGACACTTTTCACATGGGCAATCAGCTGCACAGGATTATGGGTAGCATTATGTCTACATTTCGTCATGCAACTGGCCATGTGTCAGGGTAGATATTCAGGTCTAATGTTGCCTTGTGCCAGAATCAGCGGGAAGATGCTAGTGTGGCCCTATCAGATCATCTAGGAAATACCTGCTAATCTACAGTGGGTGGCTCATTCACAGTTTTCCTCACTGACAGTAACCCTCACTCACCTAATCATTCCTTTAAAAATGTATTTCATTTTCACAGAAGTGTCTCATCACCAATGAAGAAACAAGCACATGCATACGCTTAACTGAAAATAGTACATGAAATACTGCAGGATTTTTAAACCACTTTAGCTCAGTAATTAGTAATGAGGCCTCCCAGGCTGTGGGGTCCGTATCTGACTGCAGCTCTCAGTGTGTGCAGTTTGCATCTTCTCTCTGGGCCCACATGGGTCTCCTCTGGGTCCTTCCTCCTGCAGTCCAAAAACATGTACAAAGCTGAACTGGTGTCTCTAAATTGCTCTTAGTGAGTGTCTGTGCACTGCTATGGAGTGACATTTTCCAGGGATCCTGGCCACATGTCCTGTATTTCCTGGGATAGGCTCCCGGCTCACTTCAACCCTGCACTGGAGACATGGTTATGAATTAATGAATTAATCTACATCTTAGTAAGAGCACCGACAGCCATTATCACAAATGTCTTTAAAGCAAAAAACAAATTAAAACTTAAGACCATCATTTTTGAGTAGCAGGCTGCTCATGGAAAGTGCATTGAAGGCTAAATGATGGTAAATGAAAATGGTGTTTATAGATTTACTGCAGTTTAGTGTATATTAACAATGGATGCACAATGACAGGGATATCTAATTGTGATTATATAGGACGTTTTCAATAGAAATGTCTTTTTAATTATGATTCTGATTATTATTCAACTAACTGAATAATTTATGCATTTTGCGTTTCATGTCATTTTCTTTACCAGCAGTGTATTTCATTTTGGTTCTACTTTATAAAGTGAATGTTTACTAAAAGCATGATTAACTACTAACTTGATTTGACATTAATCATAATCGTTTGAAAAGTGCACCATCTAGTGAAAAAAATGGTGATTGAGCATTACCCATGATTTTTTACAAGCTTAGATAGCCAGTGCCCAAGGGACAAAGTCAAATGCGTGTAACACACTTATCAACTCAATAATGAGGGCTCGTGGCACACAGGAGGATCGGACAGGCAGGGCGTGACATTAATTTTTTAATTTATGTTGTTTGTTGGATGCGTTCAATGATACTGGAAAAGAAATCCAGTATATGTAGGCAACACCTGACAAAGTGAATTTTGATTGTGATTAAACCTAAGTCACTGTATCACAGCTCCAAACATCAATAAGAAAAATAACAATAATAAGAAACATATATAAAGGAAAATCCACTGAAACATTAAGTAACTAATCAAAAGAGTAGTACGTGGATGACAAGAAAATGTGTTTCAAAACAAAGGAAGATGTAACTCGCTAGTTTGATCGTTCTAGGACACAACTATTATATACACAAAGCTGAAATTGAACAAAAAAGAAAATAAGCGCTCACCATCCAGGTCTCAGGTTATGAAGGAACACCAGAATCCAGTAAACAGTAGTCAGTATCTATTTTGAACAATCTGGCAATTTTGGTAGTTATTTAAATTTCCTAGACTGAGCGTATGCACAGCTGAGTAAGGTTTTTGTACTGGCCTGTGTCACTGTGTGTACGGCCAGCTAGCATGCTGCTGACAGTAATAATCTCCTGCATCTTCAGCCTGCACTCCACTGATTTTCAGCCTGTAATTTGTGCCATCACGGCTATGGGAGAAACGGTCTGGAACCCCAGACACCTTGCTACTTAATGAGTAGAAGAGAAGTTTGGGACTTTCTCCAGGTTTCTGCTGATACCAGGCTAAGTAGCTCCCAACTGAGCTGCTGGATTGGCAGTTCAGAGTGACAGTGTCTCCAACAGCGACTGATTCCACTGCTGGACTCTGAGTCAGGATGATTTGAGCCCCGGAGCCTGCAATTAATGCATGAGAATCATCTTTTTTATCATAACAAATATCTTTTAACAATAATAAAGCTTGGTGTAAATGTTTAGAGGTTAACACAATATCATAGAACTAAACAACAATGAGTTAGAATGAGTTCTTAAAGGAGAGACATTGTCTTGGTCTCATAGTGAGGACACTCACCTTGAACAGACAGGGCCAGTGTCCAGAGGAACAGTCCCAGTAAAGCCATCATGTCTGTGCACCAGTGACTGTGAAATGACTCGAATGTCCCTCTTTAATCCTCTCTGAAGTTTCCACAGCTGCTGTTTAATGCAGTCAGGCAGCACAAACTTGCAAATCTACTTCCTGTATGTAACCACTCTACCAAGCAGGAAAACCGAGAACTGAGAATACCAGTAGGACTAAAGAGCATCTATCATTGTAGCTATTGAACCGTTTACTATCAATTATTAAAGACATCCATCCATCCATCCATCCCCCATTTATCTGTCAACCATATATCTGGTACAGGTTGCCTACAGCTTATTCTGGAAAGGACAAGGCACAAGACCAGGGACAGCCTGAACGGAAGCTAATCCACTGTAGGGGAGACACCCACACGAGTGTCAGCTATTTAGTAATGCAGCAAGCTGTTGTAAGTTTTTGAAAATTATAAAAATTAAAAACATGACGTAACAATCAAATTGCTAGTTTATCAGTTTGTCACTCTCCATTGTAAGTGACTCTCTTAGGCTAAGAGGATGACAAATTACTTTATATCATTATGCTTAATGCCCATTCCTGAGATTGGTATCCATTAGTGTAAAAATATCCATAATCACCAGGGATCGGGGATTATCCATTGTATATTCTCCCTCCAACGTGTCTGAGAGATGTGACTTTATGTGTATCCCACATGTACTATACACCAACACAGGGGGAGGGGAAGAGAGTGGTCCCAGTCCGTAAGAGGGGAAGAGAGTGGTCCCCGTCCGTAAGAGGGGAAGAGAATGGTCCCCGTCCGTAAGAAGGGAAGAGAGTGGTCCCTGTCCGTAAGAGAAGACGCCACCTGTTTCCATTTCCCCCAACATGCCAGGACCCCCCAGCAGTGCAGCAGCAGCTTCGCCCAAAAAGGGGCCAAGGCAGTGCAGGCTGCCCACCAGCTGTGGCAGAGGAGCAGTGAGGACCTGATGGTGCAGCTGCAGAACCAGCTCAAAAGCCTCCTGAGCTCTTATCAGAACATCATCTCTGCCAGGGACAAAGGCTGCTGCCCCACCTCACTCATGCAGCACAGCATCGACATGGGAGGGGCCCTGCCCATCTGCCTGTGACCTCATCGACAAGGACTAGAGCAGTGGATCAAAAAGAGGCTGCAGCGATAGGAGAGACCAAGCCTTCTGACAGCCCATGGGCAGAACCCACAGTCCTCGTCAGGAAGAGGGACATCCTGTCATTTGTGTGTCGACTACAGGAAGCTAAACCCTGTCACTCAGAAGGACTCCTACCTGCTGCCACGAATTGATGACGAGCTGGATTTCCGGGACAACATGGTTCAACTTCTTGTACCTC